ACCTCTGATAAATACTAAATGGGAAAAAAAATGAAGTCATATTTCTCAGTTATACATGACATCGTTGAAAAAATTAACTGCATACTATGACATGAAAACTCAAAAATAAATGCATTGTTTATTGATTACAATGTAACACAAACAACAACCAAGGATTATTGAAAAGGATTCAACCTTAAAGAGAACAAATAAGGAATTAATGAGTAAAATAAGAAATCACAGAAACAAGATAATTTCATCAAGGAAAATTACAACAAGGCAATCTATAAAAAATTTTGGGATGTAATCAAGTCTTTGGGGGAAAAAAATTCATATCATAGGTCTTCATCAACAAGAAAAGGAAAAAATCATGAAATATGAAACTTCAAAAACTCCAACTAAACATAAAAATAGAAATTCTGAAGAACAAAAAGGAAAAAACCCTCTGCATTGATAAATAAAACAAAGAGGTGTGGGGTTTTTTGGGGAGTGGTGGAGGGAACTAATAAAATATATACACTATTCACTAATCTGGAAAAAAAAAAGAAAACCAAACTAACAAAATTAAAATGGAAAATTTAAGATAAATGAAGAGGAAATAAAAGAAATGACTGGAAATTATACTGCCCAAATATATGATAAAAACCTGATAAATGAAATGAAATGGATGAATATTTATAAAATTTATAATATTTACAAAAATATAAATTATACAGGCTAACAAAAGAAAGATAATTTAAATAACCCAATGTTAGAAAAATACAAGAAGCCAAGGACCGGGGGGCGGGGAGGCTCCAGAGCAAAATGGATTTACAAGTGAATTCTATCAAACATTTAAAGAATGATTAATTGCAACATTATATAAGTTGTTTGCAAAAATAGGGAAAGAACTCATCCTACCAAGTTCTTTAAGACAAATATGGTCCTGATAGGTAAAACAGCAAAAGATAAAACAGAGAAAGAAAACACTAATATCTCTAATGAATGAATGCTGATACAAAAATATTGAATAACAGATTAGCAGAGAGGCTATAATAAGATATTTACACAATTACACATAATGACAAGGGTAATCACCTTGAACAGGTCATCTACAATCAGGACCTTCACTCTCTTAACTGTCTGTAGCATGGCTTCTTACTTAATCATTCATATGAAACTGCTACCACAGATCTCTTAGATCACCAAATCTTTTCTTAGTCCTCATCCTTCCTTACCTCTCTACTACCTTTGCCAATGCTGATTATCCTCTTCATGATATTCTTTTCTCTCTAGTTCTCATGACACTGCTCTCACTATTCTCCAATGACCTGTCTGACTGCTCCTTCTTATAATCTTAAATTCTTCTTTGCTGGATTTCCATCTCCAGCACAATGGGTATCCCCCCGGGGTCTGTACTGAGACACCTTCTCTTCTCCTTCTAAGTAAGAGGTGTCAAGCACACATCCTATGGGCTGCAGGCAGCCTGTAACACTTCTGAGGGTGACCCAAACCAGATTAAAATGTAACTGAGAAATATTTTTTAAAATAAATAAAAATGCAGCTGGTAAGGATTCTGATGTACAGATCAGTGGGCCCCTGTTGCTATCTGATGATGTCACTTGATCATCTAGCCCCCACAGATTCAATGATCATCTCTCTGCAGATGAAGTCTCAGATCTATTAGTTCAGCCCTCACCTCTCTTCTGACCTCTAGTCTCACATCTCCATTTGCCTACTAGATAGAATCTTGAACTGGATGTCCCATAGGTATCTCAAATTCAACATGTCAAAAACTGAACTCATTCCTTCTCTCTCCCAAATCCTCCTCTCCTCCTGACACCACCAGATTCCCTGTCACTAGGCTTATAAACTGGGCAGCATCCTCGATGCCTCACTCTCTCACAGCCTCCTATCCAATAGGTTGTCAAGACCTGTTGATTCTACTTTCATAACACCTCTCACATGTGCCTCCTTTTCTCCGCTGACAGTGCCATCGCCCTGGTGCATATCTTCACTATCTCACATCTGGACCTTTGCAATAACCTTCTGACTGGTCTTCCTGCCGCTTCAAGTCTCTCCTTGCTCTAGTTCATCTTCCAGTCAGCTATCAAAGTAATCTTCATAAAGCGCAAGTCTGACCATGTTAACCCTCTACTCTGTAAACTCTAGTGGCTCCCGATTACATCTACGATTAAATTAAAATCCTTCATTTTTGGCTTTTAAAGTGCTTCATAACCTGGCCACTACCTACCTTTCCAGTCCATCTTACTTCCCCCTCCATGTATTCTGCAATCCAACGATACTGGCTTTCTTACGTTCCTTGAACACCTCACTCTAATCTCCTGATGCCAGGAATTTTCACTGGCTGTCCTCCATGTCTCCAATTCTCTCTCCTCATCTCTATGTCCTGGCTTCTCTGACTTCCTTTGGCTAAAATCCCATCTTCTGCAAGAAGCCTTTCCTAATCTCCCTTAATAATGCTAGGGCCTTCCCCTCTAAGGTTATTACCTTTTTATCTTTGTCTACATCTTGTTTGTACATAGCTGTACGTACACTTTCCCCCTATTTGGCTTCTTGAGAGCAGTTATTGATTTTTTTTGTTTGTTTGTTTTGCCTTTCTTTGTATCCTCAGTTCTCAGAATATTGTCTTTTAAACTTAATAAATGCTTGTTGATTTGACTTATTGACTTGACAAATGATTTGACTTATTGACTTGACTTTATACCATGAATGAATGGCTCGTTCAATATTAGGAAAAATATGAAAACAGAGACTACATTAATAAAAAACAAAATTTCATGACTACATCAGCAGATGGGGAAAAAAAGCTTCCGAAAAAAATACATCTTTTTATGATAAAAAGCATATGAAAAAATGGACTATGGTAAAGAGTATAAAACCAAGAGCCAGCATTAACTGTTAATTGTTGGAGGCCTTTCCAATCAGATCAGGAGTGAAGCAAGAATGTCTACTGTAGCCGCTGTTATTTGATATAATTCAAGAAATGCTAGCTGTAGCAGTAAGAAAAAGACGGCAAGGAGAAAAGAGCATTATGGCTTTTTTCAAACAACGCAATAGTTTACAGTGAGAACTCTGGAGAATCAACTATAAAATTAATCAAAACAATAAATAACAAAAATAAGAAGAGATATTTGGGGAGAGCGAGAGAATTACAAGGTGGAATTTACCAGGCAAGGCAAACCATTATCAATCATGATCATTGTCACCCCTAAAAACCCCCATGAAGATAGCCCAGGACCCTGAAACCAAGCACCTTGGGAATAAGTGCTCCCTAGGCTACTAGTTCTGCTTATAGCCTGGCCCTGCAATCATCAATGAGAGGAGAAATCACTATGGAGAAAGGGCCCAGTTTCGCACCACTACCCACCACTAGAAACTTCTGACCAAATGCCATTGGTAAGCAGGCAAGCCCAAGAGCCCTGGGAGTGACAGCACCCCTCCACACGCAGAAAACTGATCTTCCTTCCATCCCAGCTTTTCCAGCCACCTTCCTGGTGACAGGCAACCACCTAGAGATACGGCTTGGCAACTACTTCTATGGTTGCTGAAGCCATAGCTACTAAAAGCCAAGAAAATAAAGTTTTTACCACCAAAGTCCCCGGCACTATCAAATGATTCAACATCAGAAGTTGACATGATTTTAACAGTAAAAATAATACCATTACCATCTTCTTTGTCATTGCACCCTAAAGAACATGGGTCCTTTCCATCTGCCTTGTAGCTAAAACCATTTATACATATCTATTTATCTCTCTCTCTATATATTCTCCATTAGAATGTGAGACTCCTTGAGAGTAGGGTACTGATTTATTTTTTTAATTATATCCCTAGTGTTTAGAACAATGCTTTGTACATAGTAAGGGCTTAACAAATGCTTTTTCATTCATTCAGTCATATTAATTGTTCATAGTTGGGCTGTCCCAACATGACGAAACTACTAAAAACAGTTTAAGAAGAGTTGTTCCTTAAGAGAGTAATTTATACAATAACAATTTTGGTAATTTTTGCTTGTTTGAAATAGGAACAACACTGTAAAGAAAAACAATTTCATAAAACTTAGGAACTCCGATCAAAGCAATGACCAACTATGACTGATGACAAAGTATACATATTACCCTGATGGGGTAAAGGGCCCAAGGTTCACAATGAGATATACATTTTTTGGAAATGACATACGTGTGAATTTGTTTTGTTTGACTATGCTTATTTATTACAAGGATTGTGTGAATTTGAGGAATAGTAGGTAATTAGGGAGTATGGTCAAAAAGAGAAAAGAAACAGAAGAAGGTCATTGAAGTATTTTTTTTTTAATGTACAGAAGAAAAGAGAAGTTCACTTCTCAATGCCTCACTCCACTGTCTAATACCACACAACAGATAACACTGGTAAAGGGAGTTTACCAATACCAATGAAATAAGTCTGGCATCGATGGACAGAAAGTCTAAAAATAATTAAAAGCTTTTTGGAATCAGAAAAAAGATACACTTCAGATAAAAGGTTATTTCTAATCTTGAGACTAAATGGTAAGAGGAAAAAGTTTGCTTTTAAATGGCTTAAATATAGAACCGTCTCCAAATGCTACTGAATCACTTTGCAAAGTGTCATGCAGTGTTATCACATGTGGTGGTACTTCAAAGTTAACTGCTTCACTTGTATTTAAGTTCTTGAATAACAATAAAAAGGGGTGTGTGTGTGCATGTGCAATCTTAGAAGTCCTTTTGTAATTTATTTAGTAACTAAACCACAGCAATTGTGTGGCTGCCCTTAAACGTGGGCCTAAAAGAATTTTGAAAACCATTTCGCAATGCTAACATTTAGCAATTATCTTTTTGGTTCAATAACAGACAGTTCCATCTTTTCCAAACCACCAGCACTTGATAAAACTGTTGTAACATACTTGCCTCTCCCCCTGTTGTCCCAGAACTGTAATTTCAAGACTCTGACAAGGAAAGAGTGATCAGAACTTTACATGGTCCCAATACTAATTAGGATCTGCCACAGATTGAGGCCATGCTTACCTGCTTCCGGATCTGGAGGAATTCTCCACATATACAGGTTGAAGTCATCAGAGCCTGAAAGGATGTACTGTTGGAACAAAACAAAACGGCATAATCTTAAAAAAAAAGTCATTAGATAAATGCACATGTACCAGTATAAAGCAAAAGAGGAATTCTTCAAAATTACTAACTTGCAAAGCAGTGGGAGGAAAAGGTAGGGGAGAACAGCAATGCGAAATCCCTGACTGATATCTCACTGAGCCTTTTATATGCCCCTGCTACGCATGGCCCACCAGTGAGACCAAGCTCTAAGATCAGACATGTAAGCAGGCGGGTGAGGACCAGAACGATTATGTTCAAGTTCTGTTTGTTTCATCTGTCTGCAAATAAAATGCAAAGGAAGTAAAGCAGCTAAAATCCAGAACAGGAAGACGATCTTATTGGAAGATCCCAGAGGGTTTTAAGGGGAGAGATACTGTCAGGATATATGCTCACAGAATTTCATTTCTGGGTAATGAACATTAGCAGACCACCACTATTACAAAATACAACTGTGATATGTTATATTTACTGTCAAAAATATATACACTGATGCACTATAATGATTGATCATAGGGTCACCATTTGCCTTTACTTTATTCACCTTTACCCAGCCACCCTTCATAAGAAGTATGTATTCTAGACTTAAGGCAGAGATCCAGTGGAATGTAAGTTCCTTGAGGACAGGGCCTACAGTCTTTTTGTTTTTGTCTCTCTATTCCCAGTGCCTAGCACAGTTCCTGGAACATAGTATCTGAATGAACTGAGCCTTATATTGCACTCACCAAAGTGAATGGTATTGAGAAATATAAGAGATATTATGGCATGTTCATATGAGGTTTATTTAACTTCAAATTTATGCATTTCACGTTCAAATGCATCAAACATCACCATTTGATATCGTGATCAGTACCCAGCACAGTATTCTGCAGAACAAATGTTTGCTGAATTGAAATGAATACCTTGTCTGCGTGGAAGATGCTGTAGTTGCTAACTTGGCAATATAAAGAGATAAACATGCACTATTCAAAAGAACAGATACAGTGTAAACTACGACACCTCAAGAATTTACCTTTGGCCTTTCCCAAATCCACTATCACAATGACTGTCTGCCACAGGTCATCGTAAAAAGCTGTCTCAGAGATAGCGTGTGCCCACGCCACAAACATGCCATTAAGCACCTCCTACTCTCAAAGTGCTTTCCAAGACAACAAACAAGCAATTGAGGATAAGGTATGTATTTCACTTTTTAAATTTTTTACTTTTTTTTTTTTTTAGTTTTCAACACTCACTTTTATATTTTGAGTTCCAAATTTTTTTTCTCCCTCCCTCCTCCTCTCCCAAGATGGCATGCAATCAATATGATATAGGCTATACATGTACAACTATATTAAACATGTTTCCACATTAATCATGTTGTTAAAGAAGAATCAGAACAGAAAGGAAAAACCACCAGAAAAGAAAAAAAAAAAAACCAGAAAATAGTGTGCTTTGATCTGTATTCAGACTCCATAGTTCTTTCTCTGGATATAGACAGCATATTCCGTCTTGAGTCTTTTGGAATTGTCTTAGATCATTAGATCATGAGATCTAAGTCTATCAGAGTTGGTCATCACACAGTGTTGTTACTGTGTACAAGGTTCTCCTGGTTCTGTTCACTTCACTCAGTATCACTTTATGTAAGTAATAAGGTATATATTTTAAAAATAGGAAGCTTTTCTTTAAGTTGAAATTAGCAGTATTTTCCACCTCAATCCATTTAGCCCCATTTATTTCCCTACGAAATTTCAAAATCCAAAATTTTCTAAGGATATCTCAGTTGAAAAATATCACTATGTAATATTTATTGTAATTTTTAAAACTGCTTACTTCTCAGAAGACCCCTAAAGAAACTGGGAAATATACATTTTTAAAGATGAAAATAACTGCCACTCAAAGATACTTAGTAATTTGGTCTAAAGTGGAATTTTACCTCCCTTTGCTTTATCAAAAAAGCAATATAGTAAGCTAGTTTCCCCCTTCCCCAAACTGCAACTTTTGAAAAACTGAAATAACCCAAGAATTGTTATAAATAATCATTTCAAAATTTCATAATATCATAGATTTAGAGCTTGAAGGGACATTGGAAGTCATCTGGTTCAATTCCCTCATTTTTGATAATTAAATTTAAATTTGTCTCATGAATTTTCTCTAATTTTTCAAAGTAAAATGATGCCCCTTTAACATAGAAAAATGTAGAATTGGTTTGAGGAGAAAACCTGCTGGAGCAGCTAAAACAAAGACAAAGGAAATGAAAGCACTAGTGGAAATAAAGAATCACAAAGTAAAAAACTCAAACCAGACACTGCAAATTGAGATTCATGAATACTGTTATTTACAAAGAGGGAAAACTACTGAATTTGCTTTGCATGGAGACTGTCACAACAGATAGCATTAATCCTAACACACTGAAAGATCTGAAAGATCTCAAGAGTGTGTTATCTGGAATAAGTTAGTTGGTAAGAAAAAAAATTTCTTTTCCAGAGAAAATAAGATGCTTTTAACTAGCAAAAACAAACCAAAAAGTAATGACTGCAACACCAAAAGAATTGCTTTAAGACTTGCAAAATTAAAAAAAACACACACATTAGTAAGACAAATGTTGGTGCCACCTGCAGCTATATACTATTGATAGAGCTGAAATAAACTTTCAGAAATGGTCATTCAGTGAAATAGAGGACTTTCAAGCATTCTTGATGAAAAGACCAGAGCTGAATAGAAAATCTGACTTTCAAATACAAGCCTCAAGTGGAACATGAAGAGGTAAACAGGAAAGAGAAATCATATGAGACATATTAAAGTTGAACTGTTTATATTCCTGCATGGAAAGATGATATTTATAACTCATGAGACCTTTGTCAGTATCAGGGTAGTTTGAAGGAAAAAAATTATATGTATGTATAGATAGATAGACAGAGGGCACAGGGTGAGTTGAAGATTAAGGGGTCATATCTGGAGAATAAAATTAAGGGATGAGAGAGGATTATATTCGGAGAAGAAGAAAGGGAGAGGTAGGATGGCATAAATTATCTCACAAAAAAAAAAACAGAAAAGAAAATGTTCTTACAGTGGAGAGGAAATGGGGGAAGGTGAGAGGGAATGAGTGAATCTTATTCTCATAGGATTTAGCTTAAGGAGGGAATAATATACACATTCAATTGAGTAAGGAAATCTGTCTAACCCTATGGGAAAATGGGGGGAAGGGGACAAGAGAGCAGGGGGATGATAGAGAGGAGGGCAGACTGGGGGAGGGGGTAATCAGAAGCAAACCTTCTAAGGAGGAACAGGGTCAAAAGAGAGAACAGAATAAATGGGAGGGCAGGATGGGATTAAGGGAAATAGAGTTAGTTTTTCACAACATGTCTACTATGGAAGTGTTCTGCAAAACTGCACATGTATAACCTATATGAGTTGCTTGCCTTTTCAGTGAGGGTGGGTAGGGAGGGAGGAAGGGAGAAGATTTGAAACCTAAAGTTTTAAAAACATATGCTTAAAGAAAATGTTTTCACATGCTACCGGGAAATAAGACATACAGGAAATGGGGTACAGAAGTCTCTCCTGCCCCACAGGAAAACAGAAGAGAAAGGGGATAAGAGAAGGGAGGAAGAGATAGAAGAGAGAAAAGACACGGGGAAGATATATTCAGAATGCATGCCATCTTGGGGTGGGGGAGGGGTGAGACGGGGTGAAAATTTGGAACTCAAAATCTTGTGGAAGTAAATATTGAAAACTGAAAATAAATAAATGTATATATTAAAAACAAAAAAGAAATAAACTTTCAGGTCACATACTAAGCAACTTCAAATGATTCCATCTAGAAGTGATACAGTGGGAAGAAGCATGGGCCATACCCCTGAAGACTTTTGTAATCAATTAACTGAAAAACTAAGATCTTCCTATTTTGCATTGCACGTGGATGAAGTAACAAGTGTAAAGATGCTTATTTGGTTGCCCCTACAACATGTTGTTGAAACTGACGTTAGGAAAGGTGTCTTACACTTTGCAAACACAGTGATGGCAATGTCACGTTGGGAAATTCTCAATATAATGGATAGATTTTATTCTTAAATGAAACTGAGATATGTGGAAGAGCTATAATGTACTCTGAATTGATGGAGCTGAAGAGACAGACCTGTCAAGATGAAAAGGCCAGTCCACAAGCACCAATGACAAGTGAGGGTCTGTGGGCAATTTGGATATATTTCATGCTTCACAGACTCAGATCAGAAACTAGAATAGTGAGCCATATAAAGATTCAAAATAATGAAGTTTCTATCATTAAAAAGTTAGGACTTCTAATAGTGAATGCACAAAATGATATTTTGATCTGTTTCTAATTTGAATTAGGAGTGAAACCTGTGTTTGCTAATTAATCACAAGCATTATGGTAACTATGTCCATAGTAATTACAGGTAGCACCAACATTTGTCTTAGTTATAGCAGCAACTCTTATTTAAAAATCTGAGCATTTCTAAATACAAAAAGCTAAGGAACCTATCTGCCATGGACAGGAATATAAATTTGGTTTTATCTTATTTGAATCAGAACAGTAGGTTTGTCTTATAAGCATCTATTAAAAGTTATTTGAACATGGAACTCTAAGTTTTAGCTAAAGAGTTTGATTTATAAAACAGTTCAATGCATATTTTACTACTGTTTATAACTTTATTTTTGCAAAACAAGGTTTCATGCTGTAGCTGTTATAAAACTGCAAGGATTTCAAAATTTTATTTGAATATAAGAAATTCCAAGTCACTAAAAATGAGAAATACACACGAAAGCAACCTTGAAGATTCTACCTCATACTCATCAGACTGTCAAAAATGATGGAAAAGGAAAATGACAAATGTTGCAGAGGTCGCAGTGGGAGAAATCACATTAATGTACTATTGGCAGAGCTGCAAATTGGTCCGTTCCTTTTTGAAAGCAATTTGGAACTATGATCCCAAAGCAAGTAAATTGTATTTCCTTTGATCGAATGATACCACTACTAGAAAGAGGAAAAGGATC